TTCCTACAGAACAAGAACAAGAAGAGGACATCATATCATTACAGGATAACTGGGTTGCTGATCGTATGGAGAATCCACAAGAATATGATGAACGTCACTCCTGTGTTATACCTGACGATTTTGGACCCAGCAATAAACAACCAGTTATTACTACTGCTGTTGAAGAATTGAAAAGACCACTACTTGATACACAAAATTAACTTAAAATTGAGTTGAGTGTGTTTCATTATATTAGCTGTGTGTTCTTTAGCTATACAAAACTAGATAACTAGATATTGTGTTTTATTAATGCTTTGATTAAATTGCATGTGTTTTTGATTGATTTTTATTGCTCTATTGTAGTTGTTACATTGTCTTTTTATAGTCAAATATTATTTAAACCCCACACAACAGTACAAAGCTCCAGTAGTACACTCTCAATGTTTTAATGTTCTCTCTTGTAAATATAGATATTGGCATGGTTTTAGGTGGCTACTTTGTTTTCATTAAATACGATCCACTTGCCATCTTTCTGAATGTGACACACATATTAACCAGTTTGATGAATGCTAATAGAATGATAAGAATTCAGAATATAAAAATATCAGAATATTTTACAGTGGAGTTACAGTTGATTTAACGTTGATTTAAATGCTGATGTACTTGACTAGACAAATTCTTCAATCAAGCAAGTGTTGTTTAAATGGGTAGCATATTTTAATGCACAGTTTGAGTGGAATTGTTTAAGTGATGATTATGATACTTATTCTCTGAACTAGTGCTGCATAACCAGAGAATGAACTACTAAGAGCCATGGCAGATATCTATAGTATGCATAATCAAGAACGAATAGAGATTAATGGGAATGAGGATTACATGTAGGGTTCAAATATAAAGCTACTGAAAGTGAAAGATCAACTCACTTTCAGCTCTTCACTGAACTGTTCCTCCTCCTCCATTGGTTCACCTTATTCCGTTTGTTGTAGCCTCCATCTGACTGAACCTCCAATCAGCAGCTCTATTTACATTAATAATAAAGAGAATAATGGTTAGTCATTCATTTAAAAATTGTAACTGTAACAATTGAGTATTTACTTAAAAATAGAAAAAATTTCAAGCTATGATCACATAAACTGATATGTATTTACATTTGATCACATTATTGTTATAACTGTAGCCTTCAAAGCTTTCAAAGCCTGTTTCTTGTTGTGTATCAAATTTGAGCTGATTCAGATTAAGTTCGTAAGTTATGTAAATTCTAAGTTTCTAAAAAATTTGGCCAACAACTAAAGGCTATCCAAATTTATTCAAAAAATGACTAGGAGAGGATTTTTCATTTTAATAATTTTTTCTGATACATATACATGTACTTATATTGTGTATCAACTTCGAGCTGATTTTGATTAAATTTGGATTTTTTTAAAAATGAATTTTTAAAGTTGCTCCAATTGCCATGTGCTGTACTTCAGTGCTTGTCAGGTCATAAAGCATGCTGTTTAACTCACTTAGCTTGCTATGCGGGAAACCCTGCAGTTGGACATGTATAATTGGTTTTATGTTAAATTACTTTTACATAATTTATATCATAATTGTTGATTTGTTGTTAAAATGGTAGAAGAACACAGAATTTGGTCAGACAATTGAGCAAAATACTTGGAAAAAATCTGACTGCCTTTGTATACCATAGTTAAAATAAAATACTGTACTGTTGATCAATATAAATAACCATTACAATGTTTATTATAGTCATATAAATAGCTGTATTATACTGAATTTACATTTATGCATTTATAAATACTTCTATGCATTTTTACATAAACACACCCAGCATTTACAAAACTCAAGTAGTTATTCATAAAGTCAGGTTTGTATAAACAAACTAACAGTACCGGTATCATAAATCTACTGACTCATGCTCTTTGATTGAAACAATACCCCTTACATAAAGTGCACTTTGAACTGTTACTGAGTAAAAAAGTTTTGTTATACATAGCATACATGTATTAGCTCCCTGGCATATTATGCAAGTGGTCATACAAGGAGGAAATGATGCAGTGCTTTGTTTTATAAGGCAGCATTGATACTGCAGTGCATTATCAAGCAGTTGGGTGCAGAGAGCCATGAAGAATTTATTATTGATACCAGAAGTAGTTCTCATTGCTTTTCTTTCTCTTACAGGTAAATTCTATAAGTATGAGCTGTATAGCATTGATAATCACTCTGCAGAAGGGAGCTGTAATTTTGAAGATATACGTCTGTATGACAATGGAGAGGCTAATGAAACTAAAGGGATGCTTCAAATTTGTGATGGTGTGAAATGGACTGCTGTCTGTGATTATCAATGGAGGCAAGAATATTCGGTTGCTCTCTGTAATGATTTGGGTCACACTAATCCAAGTTTGTCTATACCTTTCTTTCTATACCTTAATGCATTCTTGTCATTATTATAGCACCACTGACAGTATCAAACAATGGCTCGTGGTCTACAATAAGTTATGTTGCAAAATATACCTCATTGTACTCTACTCCTACATGCTACAATAACAACAATACAATAGTCAATTGCTTGACAAATTCATCCAGTTATGTTACAGGCTGGGGATCCT